ATTGTAATTAGAGGTGCACCAAAATAGAAATTTAAAAACCGAAATGGAAAAAATTGTCAGGCCGAAACTGATACCGAAAATGTTTTTATTTTAAATGTTTTATTTTTTATAAACTTTTACATTTTTTATATTTATTTTTATGTATTCATTTTTTATTAAATATTTTTATTTTGTACTTTAATTTTAGGGGCTTCGGGAAAATATTAGGGATCTAAACAGACCTCTGATATTTCCCTTTTTAAAATGGAAAAAGAGATTGAGAACACAAAGTCCTCCCTCTGTTTTTCTGTGTCCCCTGTTATCAATGAACAGGAATCCTCTATGAGTGTTCCTGTTCATTCATAACTTGATAACATAGTATGTTTAATATAACTACAATCATGAATGGACAGGAAGTGATGTAGGAGGTGATGTAGATCACTTCCCATTCATTCATAATTGAGGCTATAGTAACCATACCATATCCTCAATTATCTACAAACACTCAGCTATCACTGATCGCTGAGTGTTTGCTCTCGCTCTCCTCTCTGATGCACACTGTCACAGGAGGCTGAGCGATCGGTGCGAGAGGAGAGCCCAGCCTCCTGTGACAGTGCTGTCTCCGCCCCCACACCGCTCTGCCGCACTGTGATAGGCGGCCAAGCAGTGAGGGAGGAGAGACACCGGACGCTCACAGCGCTCTTGTCCCGCAGCACTCGGCCGGCTGTCACAGTTTCTCTCCTCCCTGCTGGGTAACAGAGCAGCGCCCAGCGGGGAGGAAAGAAAGCAGGGATGCGCCGATGTATCGGCAGGAAAATTGCACTTTCGGCATTTAGCCAAAAGTGCAATTTTCGGCCGATATATCGGTGCATCCCTAATTGTAATAGCTGTTGCTATTAGCTTTCCTGCTGCATATAAATGTAACCGCCGCTATCCCCGTAGTATCAGTGGTTACATTTATATGCTCATTCCCTCCAGAGGTCTCTAGAATTGTAACATTGTATCTCCTTAGTAATATATTTATTTCCTGTGATCCTCGGCTCCATCTAGTGGCCATAATGAGGTATTTTCCTCAGTCATTCTGTACTGTATGAATGAACCGATTGAAGAACATTCCACCAGAAGAAAATTTACACTAAACATTCATTTCTGCCCCATTCACACAGCAGCCGGTTAGCTCGCACAGAATTTACATGCAGTTTTGCTGGACAAATAAGTTGCAAATTTTTTTTAGATAGACTTCAAAAGCAGTATTCAGATCTTAAATTTTTTTTTCAGTAATTAATCCAAATCAAACAAATATAGATCACCCCGCAAAGTGTTTCTTTACATTTTTGCCAAAGCACTTCCAGTCCTCATGTTACCAAACAGCTCCAACTCTCTCAGTTTGGCTTCCCTGGACCTCCTGTCCAGTACTATATCACGTGGGACAGGGCAGAGTCCAGCAGCCGCCCATCTACTAGTTTGGAGAAGGGAGGAGAGAAGAGGAGGGGAGTGTCCCGCCTTGCTGTCCCTGTGTGTTTGTAGAGACACACGCAGCTTACTAGCACACACAAGGGTGGCTCCATAGGACCCTGCAAGGAAAATGTGTCACCCTAAAACAGGAAGTCAGGGCCAGAGCTCAGGGGACCGGCTGATTCTGCAGGAAACTAAAACTTTTACACATCAAGGAGCAGCTTCCATTGTAAGTGATTTCATCAGAATCTGAAATAGTTTAAAAACCTTCTGACTTGAGCAGGGAGACCTTCTGTCACATTTTGTTGTCACTGTTGAGCAGGAATATTCTTTTGTTTGTGGTGCTGACAGCCGGTATTTGTGTTTGTCTCTAGTGGTGGAGAAGAAGGAGGGGAACACGACAGTGGTGAGTACCAAATTCCCTCTTTATATGTCTTATCGGATGTTCTGTTAAGTGACACTTATGTGGGAGGGATTCCTCGTGGTCCAACCTGCTATTGCAGCACCAAGGCTACCATTGCCTGCTTCTTATTCTGAGAATGTTATTTGCCTGGCTGTCATGCTAAACCCCTGGCTTCAATACATTGAGTCACTAAACCAGAACGAGTAGATCAGGTCTGATGTTACTTTCATTTCCCTGATCCGTATACTTCTTCCATGGCAGCAACTTATAAGGTATTGAAGCCAGAGAGGTCATTAAGCATGACGTAGGTCGGTGTTGCAATCATTGAGTCCGGTGGACAAAATACTGTGCGTATCAGGGGCCAGCAGACCGAAGCTAGGAGCCCTTTAAGGATCCTGATGTGAACAAATCTGCAGCTGCACTTTCTTTACATTTTGAAGAGCCAGCTTCGGGCTCTGTAATATAAATGCAATAGGAGTCTTCGGATCACTTCAATGTGCATGAAATGCAATAAATAAACAGTTGTCACTTCCTGTGCCTGGGCACTCCTGTTCTGTAGCCTCATATCTGTATATCTGCAGTGTGAGATCATCTAAGGCAGTGTTTCTCAACCTTTTTTCATTCAGGTCACCCTTGAAGTATGGAAAATCTTTAGGCACCCCAGTCTAAAATGTAAGGAGCGGACCCCATGCAAAAACACATGAAAAGTGGAGTTCCGTCCTTTGCATCAAAGACATCCCTTCAAATCAAGAGTCTCCCTTTTACATTAGAGTCCCACTTTACATCAATAGCCCCACTTCACATAAGAATACACCCCGAGTCCCCCTCCTTTTATGCCCCGAGTCCCCCTCCTTTTATGCCCCGAGTCCCCCTCCTTTTATGCCCCGAGTCCCCCTCCTTTTATGCCCCTCTTTACATTAGAGGGCTCCTATACATCAGGAGCCACCCTCTGATGCTCCTGACGTATAGGAGCCCTCTAATTATATCCCCCCATTTATATCAAGCTTCCCCCCCCCCTTCACATCAGAATCCTATCATCACGAAATGTTTTAGGTGGCGGCCTCTAGTTTTTGTAATGGAGTTAATTTTAAAGAGTTTGTTGCTGATGCTGCTGTCCCCATTGAACATATTGTACATGAAAATCATATCCCCCCTTAATCTCCTTACTTCCAATGTGAATATGTTTAAATTCAGAAGCCTCGTCTCCTAGCTCTGGTCCTCCATACCCCTAATTAGTTTGGTTGCCTTGTGACCCAAAACGCAAGTAAAGCCCCAAAAAATGAATTGTCATCTGATCCAGTCAACATTTCTTTACCTCACAGTTCTGTGACACACGTGTGGCAGAAGAGGAGCACATACATGAACAAAGGGTTGTACAGACCTCAGTTCATGTCTGCGTGTTGGTCCCCCCCGGGATTTATCTGTACAAAGCCGGGGATCAGAACAATGTAATAACCTTTAATCTGCTACATCAGAACTCCTCCCTGCCCCCTCTCCCCATTTTGGACTTGGCTTTTAAACCCAAATCTATGGAAAATGCTGCGGTGTTGTCCAGAACATCGTGCCAAGTGTACGCTTTTATCTCCTTGTCAGACGTGAAAGAACGGCGGCTGATATCTGGTCGCTCTGGGGAATGCAGACACTTCCAATTACACTGCTCGGTGTAGCTTTCTGTTTTCTTGTTTTGGGAGCGGGAAATTTATTATTGTGATTTAAAAAAAATAAAATCTTTTTTGTTCTCTGGCTCAGAGGGTTTTAGCGCACACAAGTCCATTCATTGCTTTTCCATAGCCAGTCAGTGGCAAACTGTCCTGTCAGCTGATCGTCTTTCTACTGGAGAGGAGCCGGTTTTGCTGTTCGGTGATAATAACAACCAGCTTTGTAACTGTGACAGTTCAATGTATCCGCAGCTATCAGAGCGGTGGAGGGCGGCGTGTAGCATGTGGTAAGCAGCCACATTTGTCAGGAATACAAAGCTACTTCTGGGCATGCCATGTTCATGTAGAACAGGCGCACAGACGTCATGTTAGGGATTCTGGAGAAACTCCAGATTGATTCACACTTTTGAGTTGCAGTAACTTTGCGAGGATGTGGGTGTTGGGGGGCTGCGGTGCCATTCCATCTTAACCCCTTACAGTATATATCGTTGCAGCTACTTAGTACATACAGGCGAATTATACCTTGTTTGGTTCAGGACAAATCTTAAGAGTGTGCTATTGAGCCCACTCCCAGCACACACACGTCACATATATGCAGCATCGGGGAAGAAATCCCACTTCTGTGATGTTGCATATGTATGTGTTACTCCAGTGGGAAGGGGTTAAGGCCTCTCAATGCACCTTGCTAAGGGATATGCATTGCTACAACACATGGTAATGCACTACTATGCATTGTGGTGCAGTGTATTCCAAAGAAAAATACATGTACCCTTTTATTGCATTAGGCAGATCATTCAAATGAATTGGCCGCCCTACCGGGACTCATGTAGCGCACGCAGTAATGCACTGCAACACATTTTGTGTTAAAGCTGCACTCTTGGATATTAAGAAAAAACTCAGCCTTCCTCTCTCTGCTTTGCCACATTAAAAACAAGTATGTTATTTTTTTCCATGCTTTTATATAACATCTATGCCAGGTACCTTGAAGAAGCGCCATTGTTGCTTCTTTTGCTGCTTGAACTACAAATCCTATTATGAAATTAGCTCATTGAATGAGCATGCATGTGGGCGGGATTAGGGAGGATCTTGGTGGGTGGGACAGACCAGGGGACTCTGGAGCTGTCAGTTAAATTTGTCCATGTTAGTGTGAGGGAGAGAGAGCGGGGATCTGAGACTCCTGGCTCCTCCCACCACAGCGCCGCTGGGTAAAATGGAAGTACATCAGGGATAATACACGATAATACAGCACACGGTGGACACCGGTCACACAAACAGGATGTAAGGCACGCAATGGCTTTATTACCTAGGACTAAATGCGTCTTCATGCAGTTGCATTACAATGACAAGGAATACCACATTTGCTAAATGTAATCAGTGTTAACGTGCATAAAAGTTTCTGCCTGAGGTTCATCTTTGCAAATGTATGAACCCAGACTAAAGGGTAGAAGACAGATGGCCACAAACATGGAGGCCTACTGAGGAACTAGATCCCCAATCATTAAAAAAAGGGGGAATAAAGCTGGCCAATCAGGAAGCCGGGCGCCATGTAATGACACAGCACCTGGCTTTCTAATGGGCCGGGATGCCTGCTTCATGCTCCCTCATCACCTCATGACGAGGGAGCATGGAGCCGACTTCCCAGCCAATCAGGAAGCCGGGCGCCACGTCATTACACGGTGCCTGGCTTCCTGATTGGCCAGAAAGGCGGCTCCATGCTTTCTCGTCACCTTTACACGCTACCTTGCTTCCTTAATGGGATTTCCAGTATCGGTATTCGCTATAGGCAAGTACCGGAAAAAATATATCGGTACTCGTACTGGATTACCGAAATACCGGTATTGGTGCATCCCTACTTTGAAATTAAAACAAAGACACCTTTAGAAATGTTTAGTAATGACAATCTACAAACAGATACTCATCGATAATTGGCGGCTTTTTATTCTCTCCGTACCTTATTCTTTTCCTCCTCCCCATTTTACTAAGGGCAGCTTAATACATCTCCCTTTACTTCCTGGTACTCCGGCCCATGTGACTAGGACATGCAACCATGCCTGTCATCTGGAGGAAAATGCCTTTCCCTGAGATATCGTGAGATTACAGATGAGATTTCCCAGCAATGCTCTGCTGATGTCACCTTCCCAGGATGCATCGCTTGGGCACAATTACATCACTAAGGCCCAAGAGTACCAGGAGGTAGAAAAACAATAATTGTAAGTAAAAGTAAAATATGTTTAATGAATGTAAGATGATTTCATATCAGTGTGCAGAGCTGCATGCTGATGTGATTTTTAGTGTAAGGTTGGAGGGTCTCCTGTGACATTGGAGTCGGCAAATCGTGACTATATCACAGTTGCCAAGTTTTGCATATGGACACATATCAGGCTTTCATATATCACCGTCATTAAAGGAGAACTATGGGGTAAGTGTTTTTCTCCATAGTTCTCCTCAGGGTAACGGGAGGACATAAACTAGCGTCCTCCCGTGACCCAAAGCTCAGTATACCGCGAGCTACAGCTCGCGCTATACTCAGACCGCCGCAGCCAGGACGCATCCCGACATTACTGTCGAGATCCACCCAGCTGCGTGAGTGACAGCGGGCTCTGCCTATCTAGAGGCAGAGCCAGTTGTACCCGTCCCATCCGTTCTGCCAGTCAGCGCTGGAGGATCAGACAGGGGAGGGGGAATCCCAGCAGGGAGCCGTGAGTCACTCACGGCTCTCTGCAGGGACAGGATCGAGAAGTGAGCGAGCGACGGTATGTGTTCGCTCACTTCCTGATCTATTGAGCCGACGAGTGACAGTTTTATTGTCGCAGTCTGCTCGAACTATGAGGCTGAGTGAAAATCACTGCCCTCATTGTTCTCCTTTAAAGGAGAACTATGGGGTTAAGGCTTTTCCCCATAGTTCTCCTTAGGGTAACACAAACTAGCGTCCTCCCGTCACCCTAGGCTCAGTATACCGCGAGCTGTAGCTCGCGGTATACTGAGACGTCGCGGTATACTAAGACGCCGCAGCTGAAGCGGATCCCGACAATTATGTCTGGCTCTGCCTATCTAGAGGCAGAGCCAGCTGTACCCGCCCCCTATCCAGCCCCTCCCCTGTCACGGCAGAGAGCTGTGACAGGATCGAGAGGTGAGCGAACGCCGGTATGTGTTCGCTCACTTCCCGATCTACTGAGCCGACCTGTGACAGTCTCATTGTCACAGGTCGGCTAGAACTATGAGGTGAGTGAAAAACACTCACCTCATAGTTCTCCTTTAAGGTCATCCCAAGGTTTCAGCTGATATTGAACATTCTTGTACACGGGGCACTGATATCAATCTTTTGGTCTAATTTCCTTTAGATCCGGCAGAGAACCTGATAAAATGTTCAGAGATACGTCTGGTGGAATACGTGTAGCAGAAGAAGTAGTAAATCCTCCACCGTAGTAATATAAGTCGTGTAAGCTGATCAAACAAAGCAAGCCGGCTGCGTGCAATGTGTTATGTGGGAATGGAGCTTCCTCTCCATCTCCTCGGTTCTCACAGTGCGGCTCAGCGGCAGAGACGAATGTTTCCTATTACAGAACATCAAAGCTTCTCTGCCGCTGTGGGAATCACGTTCAGACCTCACATACGCTCTCCATTGGCACGGCGGAGGAAAGCGTCTCCCTGGCACAGGCTGCTGTTACCAGGAACAGATTTAATAACGGAGGTTGTAACTCGGTTACAGGCCGGACACACCCGAGCGTTAATCCACATCAGGCGGCTGTGTTATGTCTTCCTCTGGTGCAACCGTGCAGGTTTGATGCAGAGCATTGTGGGTGGAGAGGACGCAACGCTGCATGCCGCATGGCACCATCCTGCGACTTCCTAGCCGTGAGGAAACGTCAGGTTGCTGGGCGCTCTGGCGTTTGTAGTTCTTCAGAGGTTGGCATTCTGTTGTCCATATTTTGGTCCTCTAGCTTTATGCTCAGGGTTGGTCCGGTGGGGGGAATGACATTTGGAGATTCGCACCTTCTGTCCTGAGTCGCGGGCCTCTATTCATCTCTGCGATGTATGGAGATGTTTGCAGAGCACGCTCCATGTCTGGGGAAAAAAATGCACAACGCACTGGTCACCTGCGCTGACATGCGGTTCCTTTAGCAACAACTAGAGTAAACCTCGAAAGTTAGGCGCCAGCTGGAAATTTTAAAGCAGCGCTCCGGGCAAAAAAATGTCCTTAACCCTTGGGGTGGGGCTGCCCTGCACTGCAAAGGTTAACCCTCATCAGTGTGATTAGGAATTCCTGCAGCAGGAGTGCCAAATCTTCCGCTTACAACTGGCAGCGGTCACCCGTTCAAGTAAATCACATACAGTACGTCAATTACAAGGCCCGCGGGTCAGAAACGGCCCACCACAAGATTTTATTAGGCCCGCCAGTCCCAAGCTTTGTACCTGGCCTGCGCTCAGGCAGAAAAAACGTTGACCTCCCTCCTCGGCCGCAGGTTTCTCGTCGTTCGCACATTCCTTCTCGCCTCTGGTCCCGGTGGTCCCGCTGTGTGTACCTGGGACTGACTGTGTGTGAGGGCACTACAAGTGTCAGCAGTCCCTATCCATTTAATGTGCCCTCACACACAGGAGTGTCATAAAATAAACAGAGACTGCTGACACTTGTACAGTCATAGCATCATTATATGACCATCCTGGTGTCCTGCATGTGAGGGCACTACAAGTGTCAGCAGTCCCTGTCCATTATATGACCATCCTGGTGTCCTGTGTGTGAAGGCACTACTAGTGTCAGCAGTCCCTGTCCATTATATGACCATCCTGGTGTCCTGTGTGTGAAGGCATTACTAGTGTCAGCAGTCCCTGTCCATTATATGACACTCCTGGTGTCCTGTGTGTGAAGGCACTACTAGTGTCAGCAGTCCCTGTCCATTATACGGCGGTCCTGGTGTCCTGTGTGTGAAGGCACTACTAGTGTCAGCAGTCCCTGTCCATTATACGGCGGTCCTGGTGTCCTGTGTGTGAAGGCACTACTAGTGTCAGCAGTCCCTGTCCATTATACGGCGGTCCTGGTGTCCTGTGTGTGAAGGCACTACTAGTGTCCGCAGTCCCTGTCCATTATATGACACTCCCGTGTGTGAAAGAGCACACTTAATGGACAGGGACTGCTGACACTTGTAGTGCCTTCACACACAGGACACCAGGATTGGCATATAATGGACAGGGACTGCTGACACTAGTAGTGCCTTCACACACAGGACACCAGGACCACCGTATAATGGACAGGGACTGCTGACACTTGTAGTGCCTTCACACACAGGACACCAGGACCGCCATATAATGGACAGGGACTGCTGACACTAGTAGTGCCTTCACACACAGGACACCAGGACCGCCGTATAATGGACAGGGACTGCTGACACTAGTAGTGCCTTCACACACAGGACACCAGGACCACCGTATAATGGGCCTGAGCTTAGTACCGTGGCAAGCAGCAGGGTTATTTTATTTTTTTGTGCTTTAAGTCCGGCCCCAGATTTTATTCACAGCCCTTGGTGTGGCCCCTGAAGTAAGTGATCGGGGGACAGCAGCTGCATTTGAAAGCCGGCACACCTCATGTGTTGGTATGTGATATGACTACATGCGGTAAGGAATCAATCGCCTTCCCCGGAAGCACTATGGATGTGTGCAGGAAAATGTGTTCTGGTCTGATGAAGATTTACATTTTTGGCCACAAAAACAACATTGCGCATCATCATCAGATTTATTTTCAGGTCTGAAGGTTCTGTTTGCACTCTGATTTTTGGGGATCTATAAGTGAGATTTTCCATCGAGTTTTTTTTTTGGTAGATGTAAAAATATCATACCGCTGTGCCTATATATGGAAGCCGGAGCCGCAACACACCCCGAAGGACCTCATTTGGATGGCTGCGTGCATAGGCAGCACTCTTCAGAATGCATCGGATGAAGAATTAGATGGCGACACAGCGAATGAGCGCTAATATACCGCCGCATCCGCGCCAATAAAATCCATTTAATCTTTTATTTGTCTCGATATGCCCGCTTTTGCTCAACTTGCGAGCGTCTGAAGTTTTCTTTTTTTGGCCAGACATCGAATTCCTCACATTTAGCGGAGCAGTAAATCACATTTCAATTGTGTATACACATTAAAAGATGCCGGACGTATTATCTGCGTATGAATAAACCGCTCGCATACGAGTCCCAGAACCGGCCAAAACTGCGAGTTAAGGAGGCCAGCCGCTCAATTCTGTAATGGTTCCTCTGAGGTGATGGCATAGCAGAGATGGGAGCCGGACGTGGGGCCCCAATCTTATTCTACAGATGTTGGATCATGGGGTGCTTTTGCAGAAGAGGCTTTCATGCCCACACAGCTATTTTTGGAGGTGTTGGTTAAAATGTTGGATCCGTGGCTCGCGTTTTGCACTAGAACCAAAGTCTAAGGCATGTGATGCCAAGTTTATCACCTCGCTGCACCTGCATGGGGGTGTTTGTGGAGATGGGACCTAAAACCCAACGATCACATTTTGACATTTCCATCATTCCAGCTCTGGAGTTTGGAGTGTTAAGGTAAACCTGTACTTTTCCTGGCAGCGTATACTTGCCTTCCTATCGCTCTTTCACCATTCCGATCAGCTGCCAGGAGCAAAAGTAAATTCCTGTGTGAGTTACAAGTTGTCGGAGTCATCATTAAAGGAGAACTATGGGGTCAGGGCTTTTCCCCATAGTTCTCCTAAGGGTAACAGGAGGACACAAACTAGCATTCTCCCGTCACCCAAAGCTACAGCTCGCCGTATACTGAGACGCCGCAGCCGGGACGGATCCTGACAACACAGGAGCTTCAGCACAGGTGATGAGATCATCATTCTGCCCTCCCCTCCTGTAAGCATGATCAGAGTGTTAGACTGGCAACAGTGTACAGTACATTGCAGCAGTCTGGTTCACGTTCAACACTGCTCCTGCTAGTAATGGTGCAGGGGGCTACTAGAAGGCTTCAAAATTTGGGTACTTATGTTAGTTGCAAACTTCATCTCACTTTCAAAATGAATACATAACTCCGTTAGCTGTTTTTTTGTTTTATAATAGAATTTCCGATGTTATAGAAGCTCTCCTCTGTTTCCTAGCTTGAAGGACGCATTATAGAAGAGAAAGAGACCTTATGCCCCCCAAATCCCTCCGGTCAGTGTCCGATCTGCCGCTGGAACCTCAAACACAAATACGACTACACGGTAAGATCTTCACAAGACTGCTGTGTGTCATGTGTTCTTTGTAAAGAGGACCTGTCACTTCATGTATCAGTGTAGATTTTCTAAAACCTGGTTCTTAGAGACGTTTTATATACAACATACCTTCTCCATTACTCCAAATAGATCGCCAGCAGAAGGAAGGAGGTCCTGATTCCTCTATATAGATCTTTATTATCACTAGAGGGATCCCCATCAGGAGGAAGGAGGTCCTGATTCCTCTATATAGATCTTTATTATCACTAGAGGGATCTCCAGCAGGAGGAAGGAGGTCCTGATTCCTCTATATAGAGCTTTAGTTATCAGTAGAGGGATCTCAGCAGGAGGAAGGAGGTCCTGATTCCACTATATAGAGCTTTATTATCACTAGAGGGATCTCCAGCAGGAGGAAGGAGGTCCTGATTCCTCTATAGCAGGGGTGCCCATTAGGTAGATCGCAAAGTGAACACTGGTAGATCACGAACGGCTCACTGACCTGTGTCCTGTCCTCCCGCGGTGCTCGTGTGGCTGAATGTGTCAGGCGCCGCAGTTGGGAAGGAGAGAGGAGAGGAGACTTGGGAAGCTCCTGCAGTGGAGGTAAGAAAAGACAGACAGGAGAGAGACAGCAGAGAAAGTGAGAAAAGAGACAGCAGATAGAAACAGGGGAGAGAGGGAGGAGAGACCACAAAATCTGTGTTCCAGAGTGTCCGGCCGGCTCCCTGCGTTCAGGGGCGGGAGGGGGCGTGGCAGTGCATTGAAGTCAATGGCACCACAGCAACGCCCCCTGCCCTCAGTGTGATCGCCCACGCCCGGAACGCAGGCACATTCCGGTCCAGCGCGATCTGCAAAAATGCAGCATTTTTGCAGATCGCACTGGACCGGAACGCAGGCACTGGGAGCGTGGCTGCTGTGCCATTGACATCAATGCACTGCCACGCCCCCTCCCGCCCCTGATTGCAGGTGTTTTTTCGTTGGTAGATCTCATTGAGCTCGTCATTTGAAAAGGTGATCTCCAGACGAAAAATTGTGGGCGCCCCTGCTCTATATAGATCTTTAGTTAGGACCTTATTCAGAATACTGGGTCAATTTCTGGAGACCTCACTTACAAAAAGATATTGATAAGATAGAACAAGTCCAGAAATAGAAATGATGAAAGGTCTGAGGGATGAAACATGTCGGGTACTCAGTAGTAGCTCGCGGTATACTGAGACGCCGCAGCCGAGCGGATCCCGACATCGAGGTCTGGATCCGCCCAGCTGTGTGAGTGACAGCTGGCTCTGCCTATCTAGAGGCAGAGCCAGCTGTACCCGCCCCCTCCCCCGTCCGTTCCGCCAGTCAGCGCTGGTGGATCTGAGCGGGGAGAGGGGAATCGAGCCGCGACAGGATCGAGAAGTGAGCGAACCCAGCATGTGTTCGCACACCTCCCGATCTACTGAGCCGACCTGTGACAGTCTCATTGTCACAGGTCGGCTAGAACTATGAGGTGAGTGAAAAGCACCCCCCCCTCATAGTTCTCCTTTAAGAACACGGGGAAGTGACCTCAAACCAGCAGGAGGAAAGATCAAAACTGACCTCAGAAAGCATTTTACTGGAAGAGTAGCTGATGTTGGGAACGGACTTCCAGCAGAGGTAGGGAGTCAGTCAACGATAACTGAATTTAAACACGCTTGGGGCAAATCTAGGTTTAGCAAAAAATAGTTCAATGAATAATGGAAAAGCTGAGACTGAATTTCTCTGCTGCCACTCGTCTATGTTTTCCTCATCAGAGTCCTGAGGAGGATATGAAATGTCACTGATATTAAAACGCTGCTTTAGACGTCTGTCTGTCTTATACATTATAATATGTAACGGTTGTCTTCTCCACAGGACGTCCTTGTCCTCAGTCAGTTTATCCAATCGGATGGCGGGATGTTGGCACGCAGAGTGACGGGCCTGTGTACGGAGGAACACAAGAAGGTGGCAGCATGCGTTAAGATGGCCCATCGAGCAGGTAAGAGCTGAGCCAACAACTGCCCCTGTGTATAGGCCAGAGAACACGATTTCAGTGTGGTCACCATTCCACTTTCTTATTAATGGATTCGGATGGGGATGTCCAACAAGCTCATACAGGTGTGATGGTCAGGAGTGGATTTCCTCTTTTCTAATGATAAGCTCTCTCTCTCCTTTTGTAAGCTTGAGGCTTTAAAGTTGTTGGTTATACATGGGGGGTGTGGGGGGGTGTCATTTATGAGGATGGTGACTGATATCTGTCTAGTGATTACAGTAACATTTTTATTTCTATCTCCAGGCCTCTTGCCAAACCACAGGCCCAAGATTCCCGAGGGACAAGTGTCCAAGCCAAAATTCCAACTTAACAGGTGAGCCACAACTCTGGGGACACGGACACATTTATAATGTATGTGGACAAATGTGTTTAATTTAAACTATAAGGGGATGTTCTGTATTAGAGATTATCTCTGTAAGAAACATTTAATGCCCCCCCAGCGCCTTCATCTTGGTCCTCCTGCTGTATAGTAGACATCCTAAGAGAGGCTTTGTTTGATTGTTTTATGCCTTTAACCTTTGAAACACTTCCACACTTGTGTTTATTTCATTTCTTCAGTAGGATTATATCTTTATTTTGGATAGGATTAAATAAATTGTCTCAGTCCCTCCTCTATGCCCCTTTCCATCTCTTCTCTCTGTCCCTCTCAGCCCTTGTAATATGTCCCTTCTCCACTCCTCCTCTCAGCCCCTACTTCCTGTCCCTTCACACCGCTCTCTCAGCCCCTCCACTCTATCCCTTCCCCACTCCTCCCTCACCCCCCTCTTCCTTTC